GCTTAATCAAATCTCTTATAATACATTGATGACAAATAGAACTAAAAATAATTAGCATCTGCTAACTTAACTAAGTTTTAGGAGCTACGTCTGAATGCCTAAGTTGGAATTATTTAAATCAGAGATATTAGTCCCTTAACTCAATTCTAAATATTAGTAAATAATTACTGGAACTTTCACAGGCAAATTTTATGGCAAGTATTAAAGAGGTCACTCTTAACATCTGAAAAATGAAACTGTTACTGAAAAATTTCATTTAATATAGACTTATATACTATTACCAAATAATTGTGTACCATATCATAATAGATGTGGTTAGACATAAGTTTATTCCTCATAAAGTAAAAGAGCTTAATAACTCTATTAATTGAAGACATACATTATAATAGAATCCATAGGCTTATTTTGTAGTATTTATTTAAAATAATAGCTTAAGCATCTTGCTTTTATTTGTTCAACTGAAAATGAAAATATATACTTGTTTCAAATATTCAATGTCATTAATATTCAGAATATTTATTTTCATGATAACGGCAAAGGCTGCCCTGGAATACAGATTAAAATGGGAAGTCCAATAAAAATTAGAGAAAGTATAAGATCTGAGATGGGCAAATCTTTTTGATACATTGAAAGATATTAAGATCTGTCTGTCTACACCATGAAGAAATTATCTCCCAAATGACTGCTTTTATATTTCATGCCTCGTTAGTGGTAGCAGTTTTGATCACAGCAGGAATAGGGGCCTATTGCTAAATACATGTGATGCAATATGCACATTCAAGATGTCCTCTAACAAGCAGCCTTAAAAGAGAACCACCTATCTTATTTTAAATCCATTATCATAAGCTCACTGCAGCACATAATTATAAGAATCTATTGAATCGAAGGAAAGCAATTCGATTTTCTATCCACACTTATTAAGTACCAACTAACATGCTAGAATACATTTTGCTATGTTGACAAAGCAGCTTTCGAACACTGCTTAAAAACGGAAAGCTCAGGTTGAAAGTGACTTGGTGGTTGTTTAAGACACTGAGAGAAATCAGAAGTCCTTTTTGCACTTAAGAAACTCAGAGTGCCGGGTTCATTCCTTCTGCAGGTCATTTACTGAGCACATAGTGAGTGCCAACACTTTTCTAGCAACTGTGTTTACAACAGAATAATCCTTCTCTCCTGAAGCGTAAGTGCTGGGAAAAATTACTACACAATATACAAGTGTGAAACACATGCTAGTGATTAGTGTGAAGGAGGAAAAGTAAAGCAGAGAAGTATGCTGCCGTGTGCTGAGGTCAAGAGGAAAAGCCGAGGAAAGGCTTATGGAGCACAGTGCATCTATGCAGTGACCAAGATGACAGCAGTGTGACCCAGCAGGGAACAGGGTATCAGGAAGGAAATGCCTAGGGCAAGAATGTGCTGGGTATGTGGCAGCCTATTTTATCCGTCAGCTTCTCCTCACCTGGATACCACACCTGAAATTTATGATTTCTACCCTAATTATGATCTCTCCCCTAATTCTTCCCTGAGTCTCTTCTAAGATGTCTACACTCTCAGATGCCAATTCTTAAACTCATTCAGTGAGCTGCAGGAGCTAGGATTCCAGCGACACTCGTCCCTAGGCTGGTCTCTCAGGATGTGTCCCCACACAGTTCTGACTTTAGGAAAACGGGAAGGAGTTGAGGGTTAATTGTGCTCATGGTTGGAGGAGCCAGTCCATGGTCAGTTGGTTCCAAGGCAGAACCATCACAGTGGAAGGGGTTGTGGAGCAAAGATGCTTAGTTCATGGTGGCTGGGAACCAGCGCAGGGGAGCAGAGTCAGAGAAAAATGAACCAGGGACCCGACATAGTTCCCATGACTTCACCCTCATGATCCGCTCTGACACCCTGAAGTGTGCTCTGCCAATTCCTGTGATGGGTCTCAAGTTAACAACTTAACTCTTTACCTGCCCACCACTGTTCTACATAGGCAAGAAAGTTGTGTAGAAGCAGCTGGAGGATGATGAAAGGGTGAGCTGAGGTACAGGCATGCCTTGTGCCCCTCAGGATATAGACTGTCACATTCAGTGCTTGACCTCAGGAGCTTGGAAGCCTAGGCTGCAAGGTAGTACATCCAGACTTTCCTAAAAATGGTTCTCTGGAAGATGGGTTGGGAACAGAACAGAGGTTGCGTAGATAGCAGTAGAGAGAAGCCTCCTGTGAGTAAACTTGAAAAGTGAAAGATCTGACGTCTTTGAAAAAGCCTTTCTTTGTTACCTCCTTTGCTTTGAATTTTTTTCTCATGATTAAGAATAGATTTCCTCCTGAGTGTGTGTGAATATGTGTGTGTGCTGTGTGTATGTGTCAAAGTGGAAGCGTATGAGTGTCTACTTTCCTTATGTTCCTGCCACTTATCTTCCACCTTTCCCTCCCAGAATGAAAAGGAGTAGACACCAGAGGATGAAGAGGCAAGGGGAGTTGCCCCTTAAGTCCAGATATTTTCATTTATCTAGGGCTCTCTCATTAAGAATACATTTAAGTATTGTTATTCTTGGAATGATACTGGTAATACTGTACACCTATGTGTGAGTATTCAAAATACACAGAAAACATAAAGATGAAGACACAATTCAGAAATGAGTGTTATTCCTTTATGGGAAGTTTCTTTCATATTTGCACCATTCTTTCCTGTCGCTGTTTAATTTTACTGAATTAAAAGAAATAATAAATTAATGATATTGATACTTATACTCTACTTTTATTAAAAATATTCCAGTTTATTTATATCTTTTACATTTTATTATTTGTATATAGATATTTTAAAATTAGTTTTATTCCTTTTCAACGTTCTTTTTACTTTTTTGTACATGTAAAAAGGATTTCATTTTAAAATAAGTCAGAAATGTAAAATTCCACTAAATATGTACAAGTTGACAGCTGATTTCAGTGTATCCGCCCAGAATGCATCTCGGCAGTGTGTGCATTCCTTTTCCATGGCTATTGTATCTGTGTCATAAGGTCCTCATCCTCCAACTAACAATTCTGATCACTCCCCTAATTCTTCCCTAAGTCTCTTCTAAGATGTCTACACTCTCAGATGCCAATTTAAACTCATTCAGTGAGCTGCAGGAGCTAGGATTCCAGCGACTCTCATCCCTAGGCTGGTCTCTCAGGCTGTGTCCCGACACAGTTTTGACTTTAGGAAAATGGGAAGGCCTCTCCCTGGCCAGGCTGCTGTGAGTCAGAGACGGCCTTACTGTGCCTAATGTGCACTAAGGCGGCAGGGTGTCTGGCTCTCCCGAAGATCTTCCCGTCTTGCTGTGCGACCTTCTGTTTGGACCTCAAACTGAATAAATGTAAAGAGCTCACCGACATCATCTATTGTTCACCATCTTAATCAGCTATTCCTTCCTGGGCACCGTGGAGGTTTCCAGTAGAAACTCCAGGGTTCACTGAACAGCCATCTTCAAATCCCATGAAACAGAGAAGTAAGGGATGCAGATCTGTGCCTGAGAAGGAGCAGGACCCGCGAACAGGACTGCAGCTTAGGGGGCATCAGTGCAGTGCTGGAAGGGAAGGCTGCATAGTGGCTGTGTGGCCCACCACTTCCTCAGTTGGCCTTTTACCTCCGTCTGTGCCCTGCGGTTTTCTTCATCAATTCACGGTCAATGCCTTCTTCCAGTTATTCTAAGTCTAAGAAAGTTTTTTTGCCCCAACCCAGGGCTTATCTTTGAAATGCAGAATTTATTTATTTTAGTGAAATTTATTAGGGTTGGGGGATTAGGGTTATATAGCATTAGTTTTATATAAATAACTCCAAGAAATCATTCTTTATTATTCCTTATTTTATTTTTTTATGTTTGCTTGTTTGTTTTTCCAGTACCGGGGATCGAGCTCACTTGCCGGGCAGGTGCTGGGCTGCTGAGCTAAATCCCCAGCCCCTATTCCCTATTTTATTTTATAAAGACCATGGTAGAAGGAGAAGAAAAAGAGGGAAAGAGAAGAAAAGAGAGAAATGCATTACTGGTTCCAAAGAGGACACCTACTCTGTGTGTGTGTGTGAGAGAGAGAAAGAGAGAGAGAGAGAGGAGGTATACTCTCTCTACAGGTTCATCTCAGTCATCTGAATCTGAGATGATATTTCAGTTTAGAGAAAAACATACTAAGCTGGGAGGCTAAAGGCTTATATTATTATTAGTTCTGCTTCTATCACTAATTAATAGCAAAAGCTTGGGCAAAGCACCTTCCACCTGTGTCTTAGTTGCTGTATCTACATTCTCATCTGCATCTTTATTCTGAACTTGTACAGAACACTGTTTTGATGTTCCAATAGCAGAATACATGGAAATTGGTAGCGTATAATCTTTTCATACTTGCCCATCAGTTACAACTAATCATGCTAACAGTAACACTGTACCATGAGTGTTACTTGCATGTGCTTCAGCCTACTTGAGGCCCCATCCACCAAGTCTACTTCCCACTTTTGCCCAGATTGTGTATCTTTGGAGGGCCAATACTTTCCGCCACCTTGTAAACACTTTAAGCAAATAAGGATCCCACCATTCAATTCATCATCTCAAAACTCTACCGTCTTAGCTTTCCAAGAAGACAAACTGTGAAATCCCTCTGATAGGTGAGCCGAATACACAGAATCCTTCTTTCTCTCCACTTAATTGTGGGAGAGGCTACCAATTCCAGTGCTTCTCTGGTCCTTAGGAACCATACTGCGGCAACATGCAAGCCATACATGTACTCAAAAGCCAAAATGGGATTCACGGCAGAGGTGAGTTTGGATAACTGAGGACCTGTGACATTTTTTTCAGGTCACAGACACTATACTCACATGTTCTGTGTTCCGAGACGTGTCAGGTAAAACATGCACACTTACAATATTAAGAACAGCAAATATAGAATGTGCCATTTCAATCAATTATGCACTCTGGCTGAAAATGATATTGATTTTGGCCCAGATTCCATAATAATTGAAGGCGGTACAAATAAAATTACATATATATGTAAATACTTACTATACTGACAATTTCTTCCCATAAATTCTCCTGGGCACTCACAGGAATAATTAGCAACAAGGTCTGTACATATTCCACTGTTTTTGCAGGGCTCAGCTTCACATTCATTTATGTCTGAGGAAAACAGAACAGAGAAAGAGGATTAGCAGTAAAATTACCAAGTGCTGAAGGTATTAGGCATTTTAGATAAAAATGCCCCAATAACGATATTCTGTGAGTATTTGTATAAGAGATGTATCAATACAAAGGCTGCTTAAACCAACAGTTAAAAATCAAATTAAACCAATTTTAAGGAGAACTAAAAATTTAAAATGAAAGAAGGCCAACAAAACTAAGCCATTCTCTAGTTCTGAAAATACATAGGAACAGTTTGGGGCAAATATTCAGCGCATCCTTAGAATTAAATCAAACAAACTACTCCTGATGGAGAGATGGATTGGTTTCACTTACAAGATCTAGAAACCAGCCTGCAGCAACAACTGCCAATTAACACTGTCTCATTTCATCTTAATTCATTAAAATTCTAACTGACAGAGATGTTTTAGTTTCTAAATAGTTCCTCTTTGATGAATACGATGAGAAGCAAATTAGAGCTAATAGCTAACGCTCATTACATGCAAAGTATAATAAATGTAAATGATGATCACTTCCTAATCTCATTCAGGAGATGCTAAAGTTAGGGTGACTAAGGGATCTACCTTTGGTGTATCATTATTAAACATGATGATACAAAACCGCATAAGATAGAATTCGTTCAACAAATTACACTCCTTTCCATGCTGATTTTAGAGAAAATGAGTGCATTTTTAAAGCCAAAAGGAAACAATGAATTCAGTCAGATATCAGTCTCTGATATTTACAAATCTTCCCATCCAAGGGTGGTATCACGCTGAGTTCGGTGGAGCTGGTACAGCACTTGGAAAACACAGGACCCCTTCCCTCTTTCCCCCACCATTGACTCCATGTTCCCTATCTGCTCTGGATCTCACACTCGGTTGCTGTTGGGTTTTTCATCATCTTACAAACCTCAGCGGCACTACTTGGAAATGATCTGCCAACATGTCTTTCACCCTTCACTTAGCCAGATGGCCAGCTTCACACATGGAGACCCTGTCCTGCCCTGTTCCGCAGTTCCAGAAATGCCACCCTATAGCTACAAGACCAACAGTGCCAGTAAATACTTCCTGGTAAACTTTTAACAAAAAATAGAAAGAGCAATGTGAGCAAGCCAACGTGCATTCAGATTTCAACAAGACTTCCGGTCTTGTGTATCAAAGGCATTCCTGAAGCCCCGACTTGTCCCAGCCACTTAAAGCGCTATGATCGCTAAAATCTTCCTCTCGAGAAAGAACAAAGGGAAAGTACTAAAAACTGTCTGTCTGCCCTTTCTTTCAACTTCTTTCTTTTTAGCAGCATCTCCTGCTTGCTGAGTTGGCCACACTTTTATCCAAAGCCCAGTCTGAAGAGTGTGATCCAGGTTTCCTTAGCTAGGCCATGACTTTCCCCAAAGGCAGCGTCTTTTGGTTCCACTTTGTCCCCACTTGAGCATACAGAAAATTCATGACTGTGTTTATCAATCATCTAAATAATCTGCAGCCAGGCATGGTGGCGCACGTCTGCGATCTCAGTACTCAGGAGGCAGAGGTAGGAGGATCGCTGAGAGTTCGAGGCCAGCCTGGGCTACAAAGTGAGTTCAAGGCCAGCCTGGGACTGCACAACGAAATCCTGTCTCAAAAAGACAACAACAACAAAAAATTATAAGACTCTAAATAACTCAAATGATTTATAAGGACACACATCCTTTAACAATCTCTAAAATGAATTATGTTTTAAATTATGATTGACTCCTAAATTTGTGCTACTTTAACCCTCCAGCAAAAGAGAGAAGGAGGATAAAGAGGAAAGAAAGGAGAGATGGGGTGGAGAGAGGAAAGGAGAGAAAAAAACAAGCATGGTAGAAAGGACCAATGTGTAATTTAGTTCTCTGGAAAAAGTTCTGTAATTTTCCCACTGAAGCTTTGCATGTATCGTGAATACCATCAGAGCTAGGTGTTGTGGCTTAGAAGTTGTAAAGGAAGGCACTTTTATAGTCAGCAGTGTGAGAATGACCAAGAATTACACGTATGTTAATAATGAGCATGCACTGGTGTCTGTCCTTAAATCTTCCACGTCTTTACACACCGACCAGCATGTAAAATATGTGCACGTGCATGGAGCTGTGATGAATCCACCTTTAAACTCTTTTGATCACAAGGCCAGATCTACAATCAATAATGCAAGTTATAAGCAGGGGCATCTGATTTGTTTATTTTTTGACATGAACACATCTATTACTGTGCACTCCTCCTGTGGAGCTGGTGCATATACATCACAGGTCTTAATTCCTTTTCCCACTTCCTTTCCCTCCCCTCTAGGTCTCTCCCTCACCTCTTGATCCCCTTTCCATTTAGAAAGATCTGTCTCCCTTCTTCCCATTATCTTTCTTTTATTTTATTCTTTATTTACTTGTTCAGATTTCTCATATGAGAGAAACAGGACCACTTACACTTGTGTGCCTGATGTTTTTACTTAACATTATGGTCTGAAGGTGCACGCATCTTCTCACAAATGACTCAAGCTTATCACTCTTTACAGCAGTCTAGTATTCCATTGTATATAAATGCCACACTTTCTTTATCATTCATCTGCCTATGGACATAGAGTTTGCTTCCAAGATTTAGCTATTGTGAATTCTGCTGCTATAAATGGGTGTGCTTGGATAATGATAATATGCATCTGATTCTTAAATAACAAGCTCTCAGTTCTGAGAGGTTACAGAAAGTGCAATGAACTGGATTAGCATTTGGTGAAGCGGAAACACTGCGTGAACACATTCAGTTTTTGCTAAAGAATGAGCTGCCCTTTAATTAAAATGAGGTTTTCCAATGTTTTCTTGTTAAAAATCAAGAAGTACTTAAATCTAAATTCACAGAAATCCAAATGCTATTGTAAATGAATTCAAATCTCTCACACTCTAGCAGAGCTAGCGAAACATTTCTACACGTGTACATACACAGTAACACATGTGCTCAGAGAACAGAAGAGAATTGCACGGCGGCGATTCCGTGTTAGAAAACAGCGTTTTCTCTCAGCAGTGACAGCTATGTGCACTGTGATTAACACTGCAAGCAGTCTAAATGGAAACTGACCCCAATTTGTGTAAATCAAGTTTAATTAAAGACTATATATAACCATTCACAGACTCTAATGCAATGAAATGAAAATTAAACATTTTTATAATAAATCACGTACATTCCTATGTGCCACAGATCAAATCATTAGCATCTCTGGAAACAAAGCCCACATTGATTCTAAATTAGAGTGGGATACATCACATAGTTTTGATAACTAGGAAAAATCTGACACACACACACAAAAGAAAAATCTGACACAGCAGTCCTCATATAAAATAAGAATGTCCATAGCTGGTTAGCTTTGTGCTTCATTTCTAACAGTAATTATTATATTTCTGAGGTCTTACCTTCTATGACAACTTCATAAAAGCTGTTATATAAAAATAGCCTCACTGAAAATATGATTTTATAATCAGGACAATCAGCTGAGTCCTGACACACAAACCTTTGCTACCTACCAGGTCGTGACGAGGCAAAGTGACCACGAATGCAATCGTGTGGCTCACCCTGACTTTCTGAGAACTGTGTTTCTGTTCAGTTTTGCTTTGCTTTTGGTGAAGAAAGAAGATCACAGAAGCAAGAAGCGGGGAGGAGGTGAGGCGTGAACAGGTGAATGTCTTTGAAAGAAAACTCGAAGTTCTCAATTAGGATTCCTTGGCCTTTGCCGTATTGTAACTAATCTCATAGATTCATTCATTTTACATCCATAACTTAAGACATTTTATGACTGTGTTGTTAACTAATTTTCTGCAGATTTGTCAAGGCGTATTTGGATTTGACCCTATTTGGCTTAGGCTTTTCCTTACAGAAATAAAGTCAAACCATTCACAATCTGGAGATTTCACCTTGGGGAGCTTCCTCCAGTCATTGACCGATATTTCATATATTCATTAAGAGTAAGTCAATATTCATCCTTAAAATAGTTTATAGTGTACACAGAAGGACTGAACCCTGAGTTTTATGCAGTTATTCCAGGTATTTGTCCTGGATCTATGCCAGGGCCGAAAGCCCTATGATGGTGACTTCCTAGCAGCAACTTGTCCATTGATTTTTGAACATTATATTATATATTTGTTTTTAATTTCTATTTTCAATAAAATAGAATAGATTTTCTAGGCACAATGCATTCTACAAAATCAAAGTACTTCCTTTCTTGAGAAAGAAATTATATTTGAATAATTGGTCAGCCTACTTATCACTACAGACTCCATTAGCTGGGCGGAGATAAAAGGAAGATTTTTAGAATGTGATTCCTTTCACCTCTAGAAATCTTAAAAGTTAATTAATCAATTAATTAGTTACTTAATTTCTTTTCAAACTGCCTCACATTTGCATTCTGCAGAGGAAGAACTTGCTTTCTTGTTTCAACTATATCCCAACCCACCCTTGAATTCCTTAAGAGTGCCTTCCACCAGTGATGGTGAACCTGTTAGAGCTTTCAGTGATGCAAATAGCCTGCTGTGTATGCATTCACCACCACTGCCTTCGCTGGATATGGAGAACACAGAAGTTACACTTAATGGTCAATGTGGCCAAAATACTTTGAATACTGAACATGTTTTGGATGAAGATATCCAATCCTTCTGGGGACAGAAGTTCACTTAACCTCTTCCTTAAGAAATCGCTCTCCTTTTCATTCCATGAATATGTACTGCTGTAGTTTGGGGGTTATTGCAAGGGGAACAATATAACACAGGACACATATTTTATAAGATTATTTATAACAGTCACCCAAAGAATCATATACAAGAGAGTGCAGGAAATCTGTCCAACCACTAAAGACCAAAGAATCAGCTGAGGGCCTGGATCCCACAAAAATATCCTACATGAGTTCAGCTGAAGACCTAGAGCCCATAGCTATGCCTTCCAGGAGTCCAGCCAAACGTATAGAGCCCATGACAATGTGTCATGCAGGCCTGTTTCACAAATCTGCACTGGGAA